CGAAATATATTTATATCGTATTGTCACTATTGATAAATGTAATAATATTTCATAGCCGAAATAAATCACTAGCCCTAATGAAACATTATCAGTATTAGAATGACAAGTTACTTAATTACGGTGTGACTTTGTATTTTACAGCTATTGTTTAGCATAGGTACAAAACAAAATCCAAATACTGGGATTGGTGAAACCAGCACAAATTGTTTTGTTTTTTCGAGATGACTAAGGAAGTTCTCGGAGCTGATATCTGAACAAACTGATCATGTACATTATTGCCAAGTGCTGACAAAGATGACTTGTGATTTGTACAAATTCCTTTGCTGCTGTCGTGTTCCATTGCCACATGGAATGTAGAACTGCTGATAATACATTTATTGATCCCCGGAAATAACTTCTACATGGTCTGATATGTGTAAGCTATCACCGTGACATATGAACTTTTATGTCCACTTAGATTTCATGTTCGCATTATAGTCACATATAAATCTCTTCATGAGACATCTGTGAGGTTTCACTGATCTTTAACAAAGTCAATACAAAGAAAAAATGTTTCGACTTTAAATACGAAGTGACATTATGAAGCAGCGGTTTCTCACGGTACTATCTTTAAGATATAAAAGCTTTCCTGGTCGACGTAAATTTATATGACGATATTTGGTAGTATTTGATCAATTTATATCCTATTTTATGGGGTTAGAGCGTCCGCCCGGAGAGCGGAAGGTCGCGGGTTCGATCCCCGACCGCGTCATACCAAAAGACGTTAAAATATGGTACTTGTTGGTCCCTGCCTGGCGCTCGGCAGTAATGGGTACAACAAGGACTGGTCGGCTCGGAGTCAGTATAATGTGTCTGAGTGGGGTATTCATGCTTCACTGCGGCATGGTATCTACAGTGGGCTAGCACTATAAAACTCGCGTAAGTCTGGGCTATTACAAGCAGCCGCACATACACATAGACACGCATGCACGTCGTCATATGAGCGAAATATTCTCAAGCACGACGTTAAACCCAATTTCACCTCACCTCACCTATTTTATGGAACGAAGTGCTGACATAGATGACCTGTGATTTGTACAAATTGCGTTGCAACAGTCATGTTCCTTTGCAACATGGAAATGTTGGACTGCTGACGTTACATTTATTGACCCCCGGAAATAACTACTACATACTACTACTACTACTACTACTACTACTACTACTACTACTACTACTACTACTTTGATATGTGTAAGCTATCCTCGTGACATAAAAGCTTTGATGTCCACTTAGATTCGATGTTCGCATTATAATCACATATATATCTCTACATGAGACATATGTAAAGTCTTAGTTTATTTTAACAGGGGCAAAACACAGACAATGTAATTCACTTTGACTAGTGTTTCTACTCTAAATACGAGGTGACATTATAAGGTAGTATTTTCTCACTGTACTGTTCTAAAGACCGACACTTTGCTGGACCGACGTAAATATATATTTGGAAGTATTTGATCAATTTATATCCTATTTAATGGGACGATTTTTATCCATCTAAGTTATATGTGGCCATATGGCCTGTTTGCTAATCCTATTTCCATTTTGTTATGTCGTGTATTATGAAAAATGTAAACATTAATGGAAATAAAATACTGTTTAAATCATATGTGGAACGGCACCAGCCTAGGTCCCTGGGTTTGCTGTGCTGACGCTTCGAATTCACTATCAAGATAGCCAGGACGACATACCCAGGTAACCATGTAGAAACGACACCTCAGCGAAACATGCACCTTGTGAAAATCGATTGGCAAAAACGTAATCTTGTCCTAAGTAAATATTACAAGGCGGAAAAGGCAATTTGTTGTGGAAGTTTGGGCATTGTCATTGTTCATTCATGTTATGTGTGCTGGTAATATCGACGATAGCGGAGTAGAAGCTGTCCTGTGTATTTATTTGTAGCATTCTTTTTAAATGGTTTTGTAAATGTAAGAAACATTGATGTTTTATTTTGTAAGGAAGTTTGTTTTTTCAATAGTTTGGGCATATTGAATTAAAAAATACAAAATGTATTTGTGCAGCTCAATATTGGCCCTATTCTGTTACACATGAAGTACTTCATGTCGGTGGATCTTATATGTGCTACGGACCCATTTGTGCAGGATGTAAAAGATAAAATACGATATTGTCCTATATATAGAGAGCAGCCAGTTGATTGTAAGGGTTTAGAGGGTAGGGAGAACTTGCTTTAAGAGCAGTAGTCTGTTTTGGTGGAAGTCACTTAAATTATTTTTTCAATATGTGCTCAATTAATTTTTTTAAATGGCCAACAATAACAAACTGTATCACTATATTCTGCCATTTGACAGTAAGAAAAGTACACAATAGGTTCTCGTATAATACAAGGCATATTTTATGAGCGTTCTTACTATAGAGTATAAAACAACACTGTGTGTATGTGACAGCCGCTGGTCTTTATTTGTGTCGTGAATAAACACAACCACCATGAGTTGTGAAGGTATATGAGAATGTGCACTTACTGTGCTGCCTTCAACTCTTATCATTCTTCGACATCGTTGTCTGTTATCAAAGTAGACCGATGTCGGGGACTAAATAACTTGCTCAGCGTGACTTGCAACTACAGATTATTTACACTGTGTGGTGCAATTGTGCTGTCAATAACACAGCTCGATATATACTACTAAACTATATTGAAGAACACTTAATTCTTTCATTTTACTATTATAAGACAGCGTGTTGTATACTGCTCAAAAGACGTTAAAGAACACACTTTTTTTTCACTTTTATAAGACAACTGTATAGGAATGACAAGCCTTTATGGATGATCAACTTCTTTTTTGAAGTGAGTGAGTGAGTTTAGTTTTACGCCGCACTCAGCAATATTCCAGCTATATGGTCTGTAAATAGTCGAGTCTGGACCAGACAATCCAGTGATCAACAGCATGAGCATCGATCTGCGCAATTGGGAACCGATGACATGTGTCAACCAAGTCAGCGAGCCTGACCACCCGATCCCGTTAGTCGCCTCTTACGACAAGCATGGGTTCCTGAAAATCAGTATTCTAACCCGGACCCGGTATCTTTATTGAACATAGCGACGTTTCGGTTTTGAAACTTATACCGTTTTCAAGCATGAAGTGGTGAATGGATACAGCAGGATATATACAGGGTACGTGAGGGCAAACACAGTTCAACTTGCTGTATACTGCTCAAAAGAATTTAAAGAACACTTGATGCATACATCTTATCCTATAATACGACAGCCTGTTATATACAGTTCAAAGGATGTCAACGCCCAATTCTTTCATCTAACCATAATATGATACTGCTGTTATATACTACTTTCAAGAATGTAAAGAACATGGCTATGACTGATTAACTATCATGACATAAAAATACACAATAAGTTGTAGTGTAATGCGATGCATTTCGTATGAGCGTTCTCACTATAGGGTATACAGCCAGAGGTCTATATTTGTGTCATGAGAGAAGACCACGACCATGGGTTGTGAAGGTATTTGAGAATGTGCACTTACTGTGTGAAAAAAAAAGATGACTTCAATTTCCAGGTAGTAAACTTCCGCTTGATGTCAAGCAATATTCCTGCATCTTCTTCCCTTGCTGCTCCATTTAGCAATTTTGGATGTACAGCCTTCATGTCTCTTTCTATGACGATTTCAAGGAGCGTAATGCGACCCTTGCTGAATATTGCAATTGCGTTTTGTCACTGTTGATAAAAGAAATCAGATTTCATAACCGAAAAAAATCACTAGCCACTACGAAACACGATCCGTATTAGAAGACAGTTACAGAATTACAGCGTGACGGGATATACTGTAGTGATAATTTAAGAGTCTGTATGTATACAAAAGATGAATAATCCCTGATTGCTAAACCATGGTACAATGTTATGTAGGAACAAAACAATAATGACGTTGTTACATATTGGCGAAATACCACAAGTATAACACTAGTGGACATATAACTATAAACAAATTTGGAATGGTTGATGACAGATTTTCGTGGAAATATACAATAAACGGGCTTAAATTTAATGGAACAGTTTAAGCAGTGGAGCAGCACATGTACGGTGTACAGTGACAGCATGAGGTGGCTTATATAAATACTACTGGTGTTTTCTTTAACAAATTGTAACTGTTGCACTATAAAGTAAAATATAGGTAGTTTTAATACCAGTCTATAAATATTAGCAGATTTTCGGATACATCTGTGAAGGACAATGTAGGTACAAGCCGGATTAAGTCCGACCCAATATTTGAGATATAGACTCTGAGATCATGGAAAATAGTTCACTTTTTTCAGTGTGTATGCTTTAAAAATCGCAATCTGTGACATTCTGTGAAGTTGTATTAATACCCATCTTAATGTCTGTACAATTTGCATTGTACATCAGAGAGGTGTTTATCGATTTTAACCCCCAGCACCAAACACCCCTGATATGGAGACAAAGCGCTTCACTTCAATGATGTCTACTTTAAATACGACATGATATTAAAAGTAGTATTTCTTCACAGTATTGTCCGAAAGATGTAAAGGCCAAGAAGGCAAAGTGTAAATCCATATAACGCTACATGTATTTAGAAGTATTCGATTTGTTTCAAACGATTACTCTTATTGCAGCTTAAATCACAGGGGCGTGTCACGCTTAGAAACAGCGTTAGAAAGACATATAGGTATATAGAACCTACCCTAGTATATAATAACGCTGTTTCTAAGCGTGACACGCCCCTGTGGCTTTAACGACACTTCAACAAAACCTCTCGAAGTGTCGAAAAAAAAGTGTCGAAAATGTAACCTCGCCCAAAATATTATCAGCTACCATTACGAGGCGAAAACGGCAGCGTATGCACTTTTTGCTTTCTTTATTCATGTCACGTGTGAATGTTGCATAGCGAATCGTAACGTTGGCTTTTTTACATACAACACCCGGTTCAACAATGGGTAGTCCCTTACGACCTGCAGTATAAAAAGGCTCCCTGAAGCGATAGTGCACACAGTGTAACTCTATTGCGGCGTGAACGGTGATAACTGTTTAGCTGGTTACTGGGTAGCAGAGTCTATCAGAAGTAAGACATGGGGCTGAACGAGTTCCTCAAATCTGCCTTTGCCCTTACGATAGGATTATTAATGTCACCTTTCATGGTACTACATATGATTTATATGTTCGTGCAATCTCGGGGCAAGGTATCATGGAAGAAGTACGACATGCCGGACTGCCTGCGTGACCCCGCTTACGGGACCCACCACTTCGTGCATCTTGAGGTGAGTGCTATCATCGTGGCTTGTATGATACAGAAACCAGATTTTACGATGGAAATCTGTCTCATCAGTCTATTGATTTATTTGTAACTGTACAACACTTGAATTCATATTTTTTAAAAGTGTTTTTGTATCAGTCTATGAAATGTTTGAAATAGCAGGGGTAGTTCGGATTAAAAATAAAAATTAATTTGTGCAGCCGTATCTTCTTTCTTTTTCCGTATGACTGACTGAGTTTAGTTTTACGCCGCTTTTAGCAATATTCCAGCAATATACATGAGGGGAATCGGATCCAGACTCTCAGTATGACGAGCGGACGCTTTTATCATTAGGCTATCCCACTGCTCCTGGGGCAGTTTACTACAGGTGAAACAACACTGCCGAATCAAGTAGCCTTCTGTCCTTATTTCTGGCCATGGCTAGGTGAATGATTTGTGAATGTGCACGTAGTGTACAGCGCTCATATCTTATCATGTTGAGACATTGCAGTCCGTTATCAACATAGACCATGTCGGGACGCACTACCCTGTACATCAATACATACAACAGTGGATCCTGTCCATTGTAATGCACAGTAATACGATCAATAAAACAGCTCGTCATATACCTCTCAAAGGAACTTAAAAACATCCAATATTCCAAGTTAAAAAACATCCAATATTCCAAGTTAAAAAACTGCCAATATTCCAAATTAAAAAACACCCAGTATTGCAAGTTAAAAACACCCAATATTCCAAGGTAAAAAACATCCAATATTCCAAGTTAAAAACACCCAATGTTCCAAGTTAAAAACACCCAATATTTCAAGTTAGAAACACCCAATATTCCAAGTTAGAAAACCCAATATTCCAAATTGCTACAGTGTATCAACAATAGGCGCTGTATTATTTCACAATGCGGCACAAAACGTTTACTCACTGATACAAGTACAGCTATATTTGCAAGTTAAATTACAGGACAGGTTTACATTTTATAATAGTGAGTGATTGAGTTTGGTTTCACACTGCTTTTAGCAATATTCCAGCAATATCGCGGCTGGGGACACCAGAAATGGGCTTCACACATTATACCCATGTTTGGAATCGAAATTGTATCTTTGGCGTGACAAGCCAACGCTTTAACCACTAAGCTACCCCACCGCCCCACATTTTATAGTAACCCATTGATGACAGAACACCATCTCACTAACGTTCCCACGTTGGGCTGAATAAACATACAAGCCATAGTCTGTGACTCTTTATATTAGAACATGATGTACCTGACGTGTAAATTGACGAGCTTTAAAAGTTATCAACAAATCGAAAGTACACTTCAGGGATTGTGTTTTGATACTGATCGAGAGTCTGTAAAAGACGAACGAAAGACTGGCAAAAATGGTGAAATGGATGGATACGTGGTGTTGCCGAAACGCATTGGGTTGTACAAATTTCGAACATACAGTCAAAGAGTTATCTTTCCTTACAGGACGTTCGCCTCCACTATGTCGCTGCCGGAGACGAGGATAAGCCGTTGATGTTGTTGGTGCACGGCCTTCCCGAATTCTGGTTTTCGTGGCGTTATCAGATAAAAGAATTCAAGAAATACTACAGGTTGGTTCCACAAAACAGAACATGAACTAACCAAAAGAATTTTATATCGATACAATGACCGGATTTAAACAGACATTCTTAAAACCAACTCATCTTTTATCTCAAGTGTTATGCTTTCTTACTTACCATACCGATAAAACAGGTGCTTATGGATAATTTGTACCCTGCTAGCATGTCACAGCCCCACAAAATAATTAATCTATAAAAATATCATCTTCGTGATTTTTCTCTTGCTAAGCTAAAGTATAGCTGTTATTTCTGTCCAGAGTTGTTGCCATAGACCAACGTGGGTATTCAGAGTCGGGCGCACCCTCTGGTGTCAGCAGCTACAACCTTCGTGAATTGGCCAAAGACATCAAACAGCTCGTACCAGCTCTTGGTAGGTTTGAAACTAATATCTAGGCTATAGTTAAAATGGTAGAAGAGCGGCGTTGTCGGACCCTTGAAACTAGTGGATCGAATACAGAAATACTTTGTTTCAAAGCATGTTAAACCCAACTCATTTGCTCATCCAATGCTGGTTTCCAGAGGAGATATCGCTTGGTGAAGATGGCGCACGTTTTGAGCTAATTCCTGATTGGACAATATTTTCGGACTACTTTCATCAAGTTTCTTCTTTGATATCAAAAGAGATATTTTTGGCCATGATATGTTCTAACGACACAAAATGCCACCAGGAAATGGTGAAACTTATGCATTATAGAATTTAAAGCAATAAATGTTGACACTACTTTTTTATGTGCTTGTTTTTTATGACGTAATGGTGTCACTCGTTCCCTCTTCCATCACTCTTGTTCACTTGGATGTCGTCAAATGAACTTGTTACAAGTGACATTTCGCTTTGAATTTCTCTTGAACGACAAATTAAGTATGTTATTGGATGATGAATAGATATTAAATATACTGATGAGCAAAATAAACTTTCTCTTGCAAAATTTTTCATAATATTAACATAAGAAAATATAATCAAATGCAAATTGCCCCATAGTTATTGCCAACAACAAGGGTTCGATTCTGACCAACATCAGCGCTCAAACGCACCTCTTCACAACTGTGCATCGTGGTTTGCAAGTAGGGGTAATATGCACGTGCATGCATGGTATAAAATCACCTCACAGCACAGAACAGATCGTACTTCAGCAGAAAACCACTTTACAACGCCGAGGTTAACTTCAGCAGAGCGAGAGAGGACCATCGGAATGCTGCAAATGGACGCTACAACGGGTCACGTTGCAAGAACCTTCCATTACTCCGTCGTGACCGTCAGGAAACTTCGTCGGCGCTACCAACAAACTGGTCAGACCTCAGACAGGCCCCTAGACAGGCAGACCCCGGGTGACAACTGCGCAGGAAGACCGCCACCTGAGGACGTTACACCTTAGAAACCGCTTCCTGATGGTAACGTCATCAGCGTCAACAGTACTCGGTCACCCAGTGAGTGGAAGGATAGTGTCAAGGAGACTACGGGCCTATGGTATCAGGGCCTACCGACCGTACCGAGGAACGCTGCTGACAGACAGACATGGTCGCTCGAGTTGTCCAGAACTTCTTTCACGCCAACAACGTCAACGTCCTGCCATGGCCTGCACGCTCTCCTGACATGTCGCCAATCGAGCACGTATGGGACCACCTTGATAGAGTTATTCAACGGAGACAGAATCCACCAGTTACAGTACAGCAAATGACTCAAGCCCTTGTCGAAGAATGGAGGCGAATCCCAGCTGACGTCATCAGACGCCTCCCAACTTCAGTCAGAAGAAGTGGGTTTGCATGTATTCTATCCAGAGGTGGATAAACTCGCTATTACAGACTTCTGTTCACGCTTTGCTGTGTTTCCCGAATGGACCCACCGATCGTGAATTCTCTAGTTTGACCCCATGTCCACCATAACCTGTTCAATAAGTTATCAGCCTTGTTAAAAATCGAACGTTTGTACTTAGCACGTGCCTACGTCATTGCATCACAAATTATAAATTGCAAACTTCGATTTGTTGTTGTTGTTTTTAAGTGAGATCAAATTGTACGAGGAGAAAGTTTCTTTTGTCCGTCAGTATATATCACCATTCGTTGATAGAAGTGAGAAAACTCCGAGGCTTCTCACTTTTATCAGCCCGTGGTGATATACATGTATGTGATATCAAGAGACACCCGCGTGAGATTCTCTATGTGTAACTGCAGGCTACAAGTCGTGTGTGTTGGTGGGCCATGACTGGGGTGGCGCTGTGGCTTGGACAGTGGCTGGACTGCACCCCGAGGTGGTGGACAAGCTGATCATCATGAACTGCCCGCCACCACAGGCCTATGTAAGATATCTGGTCACACACTTGTCCCAGATCGCGATGTGTTGGTAAGTGCTGCTTGTGACGTGAACATGTTTGGACTTCAAACGTCCAATCGAGAGACATTAAAACATCCTGTATGTAAACATGCAAGTTCGCGATCACCATCACCTCCTGGATGTGGGGATTCTTCATTCCATCTATTCATACACGTTTTACATCCTTTTTGCGGGACGGAATGACTAATGGTTAAGCGTCCGCTCGTCACGCTGAAGACCTGGGTTCGAGTCCCCACATGGGTACAGTGTGTGAAGCCCATTGGTGTCCTCCGAGTTGATATTGCTGGAATATTGCTAAAAGCGTCGTAAAAGAACACTCACTCACTGCATTTTTTCCTGCTGTTGGTTGATGTTCTTCCCATGTTCACCCACCCTTCCTCCTATCGACCCACCTGCTCTTTCTTCTCTAGTTGGTGCTCTTTCTTACCCCTGAATATGCTAGTTCCTCTCCAAAAACCACATGTCATGTAAACGTTCTTTTTTCCTCTCACAGGTTCCAATTCTTCTTCACGGTACCCGTGTTGCCAGAGCTGTACTGCTGTTTCAAGGACAGGTGGTTTTGGAAAACAGTTTCACCGGCGAACCATTTGGCGTTCGCTGTACGAAGGTATCGCCGAAAGAACTGGAAGCTTACAAGTTTGCCTTCCCAACATTCGGTAAAATACAATTTTTATTCTAAGATATAACCCCCACGACAGCCTAATGCTGTCCCTGTTGTAGCATAAAATATGTTTTAGCGATGTTTTCTCCTGATTTCAATTAATTTCTCTTTACTTCGAGCATTTTCTTTTGGCTTCAAGTTTCAAAAACTTGAAATTTTGAGTATTTACTCGTATGTTCTCGTTAAGTCAATTATGTTGTTGATCTCGCTGTTTTTTCTCGTTGCTTTGATTATTTTGAAGTAACGAGAAATAAATGGAACCATGTGAAATTAATTGAAGCAACGAGAAATAAAACGGGTTTTAAAGAAAGTTGAAGTAACGAGAAACGAATAGAAGAAAATACTCCCAACACCGACAAAGTAATCGAAGCAACGAGAAATTTGGCTGAAAAAAATATTTTATGTTACAAAATTGGCAGCATTATATGTAGTTGGACACAAAACCTGTCAGTGGATACTTGGTAGGAAGGTAAACCAAGAGGACTTCTGACTGAGTTTGGTTTTGGTAGGAAGGTGAACCAGAAATGGGCTTCACTCATTGTACCCATGTGGGATTCGAGGACTTCAGAATGAAGTATCAAGTAATCTGAATGGAAACACACTATTTCGTTCGATTATTATCCCTTTGGGGTGTGGGTGTCTGAATGCTTTGCTCACTGGTACCGACAATTTAGCTTCACCAACGTCGGTGATTTGCAGATGAGGAAGTGTCCTCATATCTTAACAAAGAGGGGTATCATATCGAATTGGAATCAGATGGATACCATATACTTTGATATATACTGACAGAACCACTCGAGACATTCACCATGTTGGTGAATTACATTCACCTCTGCATACATTGTGGATGTGTGTGGGCCTGTGTGTAGAGCTCAGGTCACAAATCAGTTGACGTTAGGCAACGTTGGGCGCGGAGAGTTCTTGGATGGGTGACCGTGTTTGGCAGTTGGAGTCCTGAGAGTTTCGAGGACTTCAGTCCTGCCCCACAACGAAGCACATGTGATACATGTGGTCTCACCTTAGGCATGTGAGTTTGTTTAAAATTGCCTCTGTTCCTCCAGCAAAAAATGGGTACCCGGTGAAATAAGTCGAGAGACTATTAACCTTCTAGCGCCTCACAGGCAGCTTGGGTTATCCGGGGTAATAATGATCAGATTGTGCGCTTTGAGCAGGATATCTAACCTGGAAAGGTGCGTTATAAATATTCTCATTATTTTATTGCTTATAATTGTCACTTTCAGGCAGCTTCACTGGCCCCATCAACTACATCCGGGCAATGTCACGCACCGCACAGCCACCTGAGAAGAAGGTAACTACCCCTACCCTTCTGATCTGGGGGTGCAAGGACGCTGCGTTGGGGATGGGACTCGTCCCACTGGTACAGAAGGTCGCCACCTCCCTGACCATTAAGTATGTGGAGGACGCCAGTCATTGGGTACAGATGGACTGTCCAGATCTTGTCAACACCCATATGAGGGAGTTTTTAAGTATCTCATCGTAAACATACTTCTTAGGGGTAAAAATAATTCGGTTTACATGAATATGTCTTTACGCGTTTTGAAAATAGTTTGACGCAATTGGCATGGAGCTGGTTTGAGCCAGTTTTGAACACTACTATATATGCTTATTCGAATGCATTATATACACGATATCAGTATTGCAGTTGAAGATTACGGTATTAGCAAATTTGCTGGACATTGTCTCAGTCCAACAATCGGGAGTCCCTGTTGTGACAAGGCTGCAACAAACTCTCTTCATTTGTTTATGTCTTGTGCGAGGGCTTGTGTCTCCCATACTCGTCTAACTCGGAAGTTACTGTCCTTCGCCATGTTGTTCTTGGCCTTCTTCGTTTCCTCTTCCCTGGTGGTGTCCACTTGAGCGCGTTCTGGGCCGTTCTGGGAATATACCCAAGCCATCTGAACTTTCATTCTGATGGCGTACCCAAGACATGACTTGTGTACGCTGTTAACGTGTCAGACTTAATCATAATGTCAGAAAGAATTTTAATGTATTTGGTTATGGATAGAATTCAGGTATTATTAATTAACGGCAATGACATATTATAGCTTTGTATTCAATATTGCTTTGAGCAGAGAGTTTTTATGAATGTGGAAATGTTTTTGTCGCTTCTATCATGTATGTATATTAAAGTCGATGAAATGTATAACGTGATGTCAAACTATTATTTTGTCATATATAAATTTCAGTATATATTTTACATGATTTGATTAACAGTACACCCTAAACCTCTGCATGATTAGCAGCAATATGAAAAGATATGTCTGGCGGCTATGATGAAGGCACCAAAACATAAAGCACCATTTTGAATAATAGATACGTTTATGAATAGTCAGCATTTTACATCACCAATCGTTCTGTGTAGTTAAATAAAAGCGCAGGGTATCCTGTGGTTACAGGACCGAGGGTCCGAGTTGGATTCCCTACAGACGTACAATGAATGTAGACCACGACTGGCGTACACTGTCGTGATATTACCCTCTTGTTGAAAAAGGCGTCAGACACTTGCAACCACTCTCACACTGGCCTATCGACAAAGGATGGAAGTTTTACTACGCAATATCCCCGCAATATCACGGTACTATCGAAACAACGCATTTTAACCAGGCAAACCATGTTGTTGAATGCATCGACAGCGATCTACGCCGTTGATTAAGTGGACGATCTTTAGAACAGTTTACACACACAGACCATGTATCCCTGTTTTCACTGCGACAACTGACCCTCAGAAAGAATTCACTGCTGTTAGATTTCATGGCCACATTTCCGGACTGTAGATCGAAACAATATTTTTGATGTAGTGTGTGTGAGTTGGATTTTACGCCGCTTTTAGCAATATTCCAGCAATATCACGGCGGGGACACCAGAAATGGGCATCACCCATTGTACTCATGTAGGGAATCAACCCGGGCCTTCGGCGTGACGAGCGAAAGCTTTTGCCACCAGGCTACCCATCGCCCTTTTAGATGTAGACGCTCTTTACGAACTGTATACTTTCGAAGCGCTTCCGCGTCATGTAGATGATACAATAGAACGTCTAAAATTGAAGTCTCAATGAAATTTCGTCTAGTATCATTTATGTCAGTGAATTGTTTGTCTGCTCAGAGGTCGATTATTAAGTCTCACAATCGTGAGGTGGAATTTGCTGATTGTGCCGAATAACAGTACTCACTCACTATGAACCGGCCTTAATTTGATCCACACAGCAGCTCTGTAAAGAAAGACAGACGCCAGGAAGACGTCAGCCAATATTCCAGCTGGAGCAACGAGATACAAGGTTGTTTCAGTCAGTGCTCAATTAATATCAATCAGAAAGCTTTATCGTTCGTGTACACATTATCGGTGTGAATAGACGACCAGTGCTTGGGGCCGGGAGCTGATTCTAATCACCGGTATACGGAGGGGGTTGTCACAGGTGACATGTATATTAAGAGACATATGTGACCATCAATGGAAATATGTCATGAAATCTGACGGATTTCAAAGAACGTCACATTAATAGTAGAGTAAACGTCACGTCCTGCTGAAATATGCTATCAAAGCCTCACTTCGAATGATTAGCTGATGTCCAAACTTAAACAAATATTTTCGTGAAAGTGGATCATCCGTTTTGAGTGGAACATCATCATAGCTGAACTCTTTCAGGAACTGATCTGTGCTTTGACCAAGGCCCCTTACAAACATTACACATGTATCAACCCTAATATATAATTGTAAATTAACAATCAAAACCATGAGTGAATAACCAGAATATGACACATATAGCTTTTGCACATATAAAACATATACCTATTAAGCTGTAGCCTCCACTCTACGGACACCCGGTGAGCCACACAATATGTATCTGATGCATGTACCAAATCACGGCGTTACCAATCACCTGCAACATAGGGGGTGTAGACAGTGGCCTGTAACACGTAACAAGCGAATATGTTTCATTTCATATGTTATCAATATTTGACAGCTGATGACAGGTCAAAGTTCGCACATTACTAGATATATAAGGGTCAAACTAACATTTCTATTCATTCCCGTAAGTATTTGTGATATTTCCAACCAGTGATTATGGGAGTAAAAGGAATTTTGCTGCGTTGGTTTTCCTACGCATTGGGCTGTTTTTTATTCAATGTTGGTTTTGTTCAATATAGCTGTCGGTTTTGTGAAACATCCCATTGCATATTGTTCATACAAGAAGCGATATGTGATACCGTCAGTTCTGAACGACCCGGAGTTGGGGACGCACGGCTATGTTCAGTTGGAGGTAAGTCACGAACAAATACAGCTTTGCTCAAGGCGGGAGAGTTATTGATTCTTTATGAATTATTTGAGCTCATATTTCTGATTATACAGGCGCTCCAGGTTTGTTTATACACCTTTAAATACAATATAGATTTTACTGGATTAAATTGTAGAAATGCAGTGACTGCAAGTGTGGGTTACTCCCCTATCGCTAGCTTGGATACCGTTATATTGCTGAATGTGGACCATTGCAGGATCAGTAAGTGTCGTTTGTGCTGTGTCACTTGGAAACGAATTCTACATGCTTTATACCCGTAGGTGTGGTAACTAGTATAATAGCCAATGTCAATTTATATATTGATAATCTATTTAATATTAAAATATACGAACGTGATCATGATTTTCGTGATTATAATTTCTATATATACAACTTGATTTACGTTTCAACTCAACAATATTGCAACTTTATGACAGAAACCTAAATATCTGTGTCTTGAAAACATAAATTGAATTTCGACAAAAGAAATGAGTGAGTTTAGTTTTACGCCGCTTTAAGCAATATTTCAGCAACATAACGGCGGGGGACACGAGAAATGGACTTCACACATTTTGCTCATGTGGGAATCGAATCCGGGTCTTCGGTGTTACGAGCGAACGCCTTAACCACTATGGCTACCCCACCGCCCCTCGACAAAACAAGAAACAGAGTCGTTTAATATAATTTCTGCATATCATCATTCGATATTAGTTTTGTATTGATATAACGTGATTACGTCACTTGTTACCTTGTTTAGATGGGCACGCAATGATGCAAAGTATCACAACACACCTTGTCTTCATATATCAATATGGATCAACCATGGCAAAGGAAACTACCCAAATCTCAATTTAACGTACTATATGGATACATTGACCCTCAGGGAATAAGGAAATGGCAAATCTAAACGTAGAAAGAACGAACAACTGGAGTTTATTCACAAAAGCAAACATAGCCACATATGACTCATTTTGTAGTGCTGATTGCTATGGCGTTAACTACACTCCCATTGCCCGACGCCCGAGTCCAGTGTTTTAGTGCTGACAAGCTGTTGTCACACTGTACCGGTGTCCAGTTGATATTCAATGTTAGTTATGTGGTCATTTTAAACATCCTGGAATACAATCCTCACCCCTGAAGAATGCACATACATATCCATAACGGAGCAGAGTGTCAATATCTGGTGTAAGCTCAGACAACACCCCTAACCCTTAATCTCCTCATTGACTGTATCCGACGTTGAATTCGGAGCTTCAATACATCAATATTTTGTACCTGAGGATCTCTCTTGCGTATTCTGCGACCCATAATGTCCTAAACATGCTCTATGTGACTGGGATCTGGACTCGCGGGCCAAGGCAGAGTTGCTATCAACGTTTGACGAAATAACATCACTAACGGCACGTTAACGATGTGGCCTAGCATTGTCGTCCATAAAGACCGGCCTTTTGTTCAGAGGATGGTTATCGAAATGTGGTACAACAACCCTGTCCAGGATGTCAACGATGTACCGTCAACCATTCAGATTGTGTCTGATTGTCATAAGGTCATGTTTACAGTCATGATGCTGATCATAAAGACCTTATATGTAAGGAGAAAGGGTACTGATGCAAATCTTATGTTTCATTGTATCTATCGTATACAGCGACATACTTCGTTAATAAGTGTTGAAAGGGTGACGAAACAGTCAATGTTTCTTCGCCTTTTGTCTTCCCCTATCCATCATGTGTTACCCTACTCTGTCGTGTATAATTCCGTCTGCTTATAGCATGCACATAAACTGTTTCATTAAAATGACAAGAAGTATGAAGGAGCTAACAATGAAAACTATTTTAGTCATCATGTTAATCAAGTAAATTCTGTTTATGAATGGCATGTAACACGTTATTTGGTCTTTGTTAGAACATCTAGACGTTCGTACATGTATCCATAAAAGGTCTCATACTGTTTCGAATTAAATGCATTCTGCTACAAAAAGGCTCTATCATGTTTACAATTTTTTTCTTACTTCAGGAGGTAAAGATCCATTATGTTGCCCATGGTGACGAAAGCAAGCCGTTGATGCTGTTTGTGCATGGGTTTCCAGAGTTCTGGTACTCATGGCGATACCAGCTGCGCGAGTTCAAAAAAGATTACAGGTGGTCATTACTGGGGCTTTTCTTTACAAGAAGATTATTTTTTCTGAAGTAAACTTGATATACTGAATTATTTTTTTATCAGTAGATAGGGCTATCGCCCCATTAGCATTATGATCATATATACTGGCCACATAAAGAAACTGTGCACACAGAAAATACAAAAAGATAGGCAGACAGCGTCTTTATGCATAAATAAAGGTTTGTACATAGCAAGTATTGGAGACAATCAAACGCTCATGCAGGTGCCAGGCGACGTGACGTCATTGATGGTGGCCTATGGACTTGCAATGTGTTACTGCACGTGCAGCCTGTGCAGCTGCACACAACATGTGAAATTCAGAAATTGCTGTCACTGTCGAAAGCTTGATCTTTGGTCATTCAAACGTTCACAAATTCACATGAGAAGTCATATGCACATCATGCCAACATGTGCTCAACGTCATGAAGCCATTGGAATGGTTCGAGCAGGCATGAGCCAACAACAGGTGGAAGCACATTTCCAATGACATTGTAACACGATATCTGCATTGGTCAGGCGTTATGGAAACAGTAATGACGTCGCCGACCACCCACGTTCTGGGCGTCCCCGAGTAACGACGCCAAGACAGGACAAGTGGATTCGGGTGCCTCATATCAGACACAGGTTCCAGACGGCAGTGACCACGTCCCAAACCATTCCCCAGGCCTTCATTTGGAAAATTTGGTAGCCTCTATGCGTCGTCGATGCACCGCTGTGCTTCACGCGCATGATGGTCATTCCCGTTATTGACATTGTGACTTCGACGTGTGACCCCGACTCAATTTTGAACTTCTGACGTCATCGTTACGGATATTGTTCATGTTCTTTTGACATGTTGTTGAGGCCCGATACTTCATCTTATAAAGTGTCTACATCATTTCGTCTTTTCTGTGTTGTATTCCAATTCTGAAAGAATTTTCTGTGTGCACAGTTTCTTTATGTTGCTAGTATAGTTAATGTTGTCTTATATTTACCACTCTGACCATAAGGATGAAGTGTTCGCCTGTTGAGGGGGCAAGAAGTAGCCCAGAAACGTCGTGTTGCAAGCAATAAAGAAGTTGTAAATCCATACAATACGTTGTTCTGTTACCTTCACAAAGATGAAAACTGGAATCAATCCCTCTCTGATGCTCCATGTGTGCACTTTCCTTTTCTTCCATTTTGATCATGTTTAAAGACCTGCTAATTTCTCCCAGGGTTGTGGCCATTGATACGAGAGGCTATGGTGACTCCGACAAGCCTTCCGGTGTTGCCAATTACCAGGTGTCCAAGGTGGTGGAGGATCTGAAACAACTCATCCCTGCTCTAGGTGACAGAAACGCATTGGAATATTTCTGAATTCATCTAGTTTCATATTTTTATTTGCACAAAAAACAAACATTAGTCCAAAACCTTGTGTAAAAATGCACGTTTTCCCTTGTACCAGTGTAGTTGATACAAGTTAACATATACTTTATGTGTTTATTGCTGCTTTGGACCCGTGAAGGTCCGGGTTAGAATGAACGACATCTTTGCTCTGTGGGTTTTGATTCAGAATTAGAGTTAGATTGTGCACTTGAGGAAAAACGAAACTTATTTGATAAAATAAACTCACTTACTAAAGAAAGCACACCCCTGTTTGGGGGAATTATTTTTAAAAAAAGAAGTAAATATTTTGAAAGTGTTATGATTGTCACTCACAAGTGACAAACATTACGTACATGTTGTCAAAACACTACATATGTATTTTACAACGTAGTGTATGGAAAATCCTGGCTTTGTTGAATCGCACATGCATGTTACGCGGTCAACAGTAATGAGACAATGCTTGTGGTTGACATGGCAACTTGATAGGGTATCTATTGTGCTTTGATAATATGCATGTACACAATTCTTTTTTACTGTTAAGTCACAATGAAAATATTTACGACGGAAGGTTGTTTTTTAATAATGACCCCAACGGACCAAGTGTGTACTTTCTATTCAGTTATTTTGTCGTTGAAATCATGGCTCTACATTATGATAGAATGATTAGAACATTGTTCCTGAGAAATCATCCATCAGCCTAAAAACACACCATGCAATTCTTTATATATGCCTACATGCCAATTAAAAATACAGATATGATCAATATGATATATGTGATCAATATGATATATAATCACATACACATATGTATGTTTCTGCTTGTCGTGTGTTATCTTCCACTTGCTTCTGTTCCAGGCTACAGATCCTGTGTGCTGGTAGCCCATGACTTTGGAGGCGCCATTGCCTGGGCATTGACTGCCTTACACCCAGACCTGGTCGACAAACTCATCGTAATGAACTGTCCGCATCCAGGTATATTTCGTAGCTACATGGAGAAGAGTTTGGCGCAGTTAAAGAAGTCTTGGTAACTATTTAATATGTTTAGTCTACAAACATAGTCTCATGAACCAATTCAGACAATGACCTACTTTTCAGCAGATCCGAATTTTTTCTCGTGTGAAAGTGAAAAGAGACACTACAAACACCTATGGTTACACGAATTTCCAATTTCTTGTTTCATAAGAAAATGATATTTACAAATGAATTTTAATTTTAAACTTTAAAAAAATCGTATTTCTATATTTTATGACGTTAACTAAGTCGTCAGAGACTGACCCTGTTTTATGTGGTCGTAAAATGATTCACAATTCATCTGGCTCACTAGTTACACCTGTTATGTGTTCTTTGCGCTTATTAACTGTATTTTTGTATCGTACAATGTGATTGGATATAATATCAAAGCCGTACAAGACCTCCAAACTGTTCTAGCAGCCGAGCCTCGTTGTGAGATTTCCACGATTTCCATTTGTCAGAGCACGCTGCACGACGTGTTTGCAAGGATTAGAAGGATCGTAGTGTTGCAATATCCAAGTGATTAGATGTATCAAATATTACTGATTTATATTTATATATCCAACTGAATGAGTTGGTCTCAAAATTCTGGTTTGTTATTGTATAAAGTTGCGTAATAGGACGGAACCCAGTCAGCAGGAAACGAGACTGTTGTGTAATCAATGTTTTGACTTAGTCGGCATTGGCTGGTCATCGTAACTGGTACATGATACACATATATACATATTTTTCAGCTACCTTGGGCATTCATGGTAACAGTTTCATACCATGCTTAGAAGTATGGACCGGTAACAGTTGGACTGTTTCATTTCTTCACTAAGTGAACGTCTCCTGTGGTGGTGTGTGGCCCTGAAGTGCGATCATTACGAAAGTGTGTGTTTTGGGCTCTCCATAGCCAAAATATGCTTGTCTTAGAAATCGACCCACGGGAACGGATTGTTACAATCATTTACTGATCGGTGATGCATGTAATCGTATCCCAGATGCGCTGCTTATAATAATCACTAGACCCGATTATTTACAGCTCGTCACAATTTAGCTTGATTATTACCCCCGCCGCGCGTTTAGCACGAAGCGGGGGATATAGTATTAGGCTCCGTCCGTACGTTCGTACGAATTAGAATATCTTAAGAACCGTTGACTAGATTCTTTTCACATTTGGTACCTAGGTTCATCACAGTGTGAAAACGGTCCCAGTCAGATTTGGTGACCTTCATTTCAAGGTCCCAAGGGGACTTTAATGTTTTACCCTTGTCAGCGAGATATCTCAAGGCCCATTCACTGGAGTTTCTTCATATTCGAAACAAAGCTTCATCTAGGGAAGACGCAGGGCCCAGTCGATGACCTCTGGTGACCTTCACATAATTGTCAAGGTCACAGCGACACTTTAAAGATTTCAGCATGTTAACCTGCATGTTAAGCTTGTCAGCGAGATATCTCACAAACGATTCACTGTATTTTCTTCATATATGACACAAAGCATCATCTTGGGAAGGTGCAGGTTGACTGGTCGTGCTTTTGTTGACATTTAACTTCATCTTAAACTACAACCTTCACTTTCATTACTTTTTAAGATTGATTTGATTGTGACAATCCTTTTGCTATTGTTGTGGTAAACAGTAAATACATAATTCATATGTTGATGTTTTCCTTACCGTTGTGTAATCTTTTTGGTGAAATAATCATGCTTCATGAGAGCGACACTTGCTTAGTTCTGTTCACAAGATTGGATTTGTTTGTTGTATTTAGTGCACCATACAATCACGGTACTCCTACACATATAAAGGGTGGTGTTTGTTTCAGGTACATTTTCTTCTTCCAAATTCCATTTGTCCCCGAGCTGATGATGCGAGTGAACGACATGAAAGCTCTGGAAAAAATGTTCACGGGGCGTCAGGGTGGTCTTACCTCAGACAACTGTAGCGCTGACGATATTGAAGCATACAAATATGTTTTCTCTAAACCAGGTAATTACTCTTTTATGGTTAATAATGTGTGAAAGTATAGTGATTATACAACCACTGGAATTGTGTCCTGGCGGTTAGAGGAGTGTTTAATCATTGGATTATATTGGATGATGTCATGGCTCTCACGTCGTAGATTCATTAGTTTCATTAGATCATGTCCCAATACACGTCTTATGTAGCAGATTCATTAGATCATGTCCCAATACACGTCTTATGTAGTAGATTTATTAGATCATGTCCCAATACACGTCTTATGTAGCAGATTCATTAGATCATGTCCCAATACACGTCTTATGTAGCAGATTCATTAGATCATGTCCCAATACACGTCACATGTAGTAGATTCATTAGATCATGTCCCAATACACATCACATGTAGCAGATTCATTAGATCATGTCCCAATACACGTCTTATGTAGCAGATTCATTAGATCATGTACTAATACACATCACATGTAGTAGATTCATTAGATCATGTCCCAATACACGTCTTATATAGTAGATTCATTAGATCATGTCCTAATACACATCACATGTAGCAGATTCATTAGATCATGTCCCAATACACGTCTGATGTAGCAGATTCATTAGATCATGTACTAATACACATCACATGTAGCAGATTCATTAGATCATGTACTAATACACATCACATGTAGCAGATTCATTAGATCATGTCCCAATACACATCACATGTAGCAGATTCATTAGATCATGTCCCAATACACATCACATGTAGCAGATTCATTAGATCATGTCCCAATACACGTCTTATGTAGCAGATTCATTAGATCATGTACTAATACACATCACATGTAGCAGATTCATTAGATCATGTCCCAATACACATCACATGTAGCAGATTCATTAGATCATGTCCCAATACACATCACATGTAGCAGATTCATTAGATCATGTCCCAATACACATCACATGTAGCAGATTCATTAGATCATGTCCCAATACACATCACATGTAGCAGATTCATTAGATCATGTCCCAATACGTCACATGTAGCAGATTCATTAGATCATGATTCATTAGATTCATTAGATCATGTAATAATACACATCACATGTAGCAGATTCATTAGATCATGTCCCAATACACATCACATGTAGCAGATTCATTAGATCATGTACTAATACACATCACATGTAGCAGATTCATTAGATCATGTCCCAATGTAGCAGATTCATTAGATCATGTCCCAATCACGTCAGATTCATGTAGCAGATTCATTAGATCATGTACTAATACACATCACATGTAGCAGATTCATTAGATCATGTCCCAATACACATCACATGTAGCAGATTCATTAGATCATGTCCCAATACACATCACATGTAGCAGATTCATTAGATCATGTCCCAATACACGTCTTATGTAGCAGATTCATTAGATCATGTCCCAATACACGTCTTATGTAGCAGATTCATTAGATCATGTCCCAATACACGTCTTATGTAGTAGATTCATTAGATCATGTCCCAATACACGTCTTATGTAGTAGATTCATTAGATCATGTCCCAATACACGTCTTATGTAGCAGATTCATTAGATCATGTACTAATACACATCACATGTAGCAGATTCATTAGATCATGTCCCAATACACATCACATGTAGCAGATTCATTAGATCATGTCCCAATACACATCACATGTAGCAGATTCATTAGATCATGTCCCAATACACGTCTTATGTAGTAGATTTATTAGATCATGTACTAATACACATCACATGTAGCAGATTCATTAGATCATGTCCCAATACACGTCTTATGTAGCAGATTCATTAGATCATGTACCAATACACATCACATGTAGCAGATTCATTAGATCAGGTCCGAATACACGTCTTATGCAGCAGATTCATTAGATCATGTCCCAATACACGTCTTATGTAGTAGATTTATTAGATCATGTACTAATACACATCACATGTAGCAAATTCATTAGATCATGTCCCAATACACGTCTTATGCAGTAGATTTATTAGATCATGTATTAATACACATCACATGTAGCAGATTCATTAGATCATGTCCCAATACACGTCTTATGTAGTAGATTCATTAGATCATGTACTAATACACATCACATATGCCAGATTCATTATATCATGTACCAATACACGTCTTATGTAGCAGATTTATTAGATCATCTCCCAATACACGTCTTATGTAGCAGATTCATTAGATCATCTCCCAATACACGTCTTATGTAGTAGATTCATTAGATCATGTACTAATACACATCACATGTAGCAGATTCATTAGATCATGTCTCAATACACGTCTTATGTAGTAGATTCATTAGATCATGTACTAATACACGTCTTATGTAGTTGATTCATTAGATCATGTACTAATACACATCACATGTAGCAGATTCATTAGATCATCTACCAATACACGTCTTATGTAGCAGATTCATTAGATCATGTCTCAATACACGTCTTATGTAGCAGATTCATTAGATCATGTCTCAATACACGTCTTATGTAGTAGATTCATAACATCATGCAGTAGATTCATTACATTATGTATTATGAATATTAACACTTGGAAACATGATTGATTGAGGCGACTATTATTTGTATGTTATTTATGGTATGCCAAGTTGAATTGTTAATATTGAAGTCACCAATATAAGAAAATAACGTTTCATTGATATATATGAACATTGTATACATGTACATTTGTGTCAGTCTGGGATCAAACTAATGGATCAAATAGTCAATTATCCGTGAATATTATTGACCAGGTAACAGCAATATTGGATCCATACTCATCAGATATGAACCAGTTACCTTGCATGCTTCCGTTTGCTACACTCAACCATGGGGTAGCCCAGTGGCCAAAGCGTTCTCTTGTCACACCGAACACTCGGGTTCGATTCCCCACATTGATACGATATGTGAAGCCCATGTCTGGTGTTCCCCACCGTGGTATTGCTAGAATATTGCTAAAAGCGGCGTAAAGCCATCTCACTCACTGATCATCTTGACCACATGGAGATGACACTTAGAGTTTCGTCTTGTGGTACTGTGATTCAAGCAGTTTGTATGTATTTCACTCTGTTTGTTCGATGCTTCCCCCTTTTCCTACCAACAGGTGCTGCAACATGTGCCATCAATTACTATCGAGCTACAACACGGTACCCTGCAAAAAAGATCCCGAGGATCTCCTGCCCGGTGCTGACCATCTGGGGCTGCAAGGACGTGGCCTTGGAGTCCTCCCTTGCAGCTGCTGCTAATGCTTTTGTAGACAACCATACAGTCAAATACATAGACGAGGCTAGTCACTGGGTCATGATAGACACCCCGGAAGAGGTTAATAAACACATAACAGATTTTCTGAAATAAATAATGATAATGATAATATAGTTTATTATAGTGTCATGTTTTACAAGGTATAAAACATTTAGTACATATATAAAATACAAACAGGCCTCGGAAGGCCGAAATGGCACCTTAAAATATTACAAGTATATAAAATGCAATTAACTATAGGCAGGGTGGATGCACATCTTACATACATAAGTACACTAAGATGTTCATTCATATATACCAGAACCCAACATATCATTCATATATACATATTTTAGTTCTCATACATACAGTGGCACACACACACACGAACACGGACGCACGCACACAAACAAACACACACGCCAATTCAAGTTGGATGCATTCAGTGTTTATCATCGACTTATGTTTATCCAACACAGATAAGTCACAGAAATTGCTGAAATGAGTATTAATAAATCAAACAAACATTTTCTTAAATCATTATAAAATTCACGAACCACAACAAAATGTGCTTCATCCTCTATCAACTGTTCATTACATAGTAGATAGAGTCTATCTTCCAGAGGGGTCAGAGGCTTGGTATACCTGCCACTTTCTATACCCAGGGGAAGGTTTCCACAGTGTATAGAGGCTATAAACTTTTTGTTGTCTAGGGAGAGACATCTTCGCAGAGTGAGAAGTTTGGATATCTTGCGTATATGTCCTATATGTTCGTATATGTTTCTGTTTAAGTTACCTTTGTCGTTGAACATATCAGAGTACCATTTTTGTCTGTCTGTCTCTTGTGTCCAACACTTCAAGGCATGTATTGAGAAACTCAGCACGGTTAGTCTGGACACAATAACCTAAAGTTCTTTATTTCGATGAATGCCTAATCTATTTACAAATTCACAATCCTTTAAATCCCATGAAGATTTGCTTTTATCTGACGACTTATACTCCTCACCAAAAATTAAGCAACAAGTATTTTCAGTGTAATATCTTTATCAATCTCGATAGCGATTTTTGCTGACATGTTACTGAAAGGAAAATATTTAAAGAATACATAACCTTTAGTGACTGTCAAATTGATTTATCTGATAACATTGACAACATCACACGAACACAACCACCCTCAGAAACAACATGCAAAATGTGTGGCATGAATGTCCTCCACTCTTCACACATGCACCCTTATCGGTGTAAACCTACCTGTAATCATTCCTCTGGTACAGCAAGCGGGTCCTAACTTCATTTTTATGGATAATAATGCCCGTCCATGGATGATAATGCCCGAGAAAGAGTTGTTAACGATGTTGTTTAGATCAACAACATCACACATATGCATATGGACTGGCCTGCAAGGCCACTTGATCTTAATCCCATTGAACATTGGAAGTCGTGTTTACGATCTCCATGTTCACCCCTAGACTCTGGATGACCTTGGACCTTGGCAGAACATTCCACAACAGCAACTTTAAAGGTTCATTTGGTCAATGCAAAGACGTGTAGAAGCTTGCATTTGTGCTCATGGTGGTCACACGCGTTACTGAACACTGCTTCACTGTCCAAAACTGACTTGAACCTTAATGTTAACATTTTGCTCCATCAATGCAGCACATTTTGCACGACTGTTTCACGGGTACATGCTTTTGATGATTTGTAAGTCTATTATTGCTCAATACCATTTCATTTCATTTTGTTAATCGTGTGTACATATGTTTCACCTTTCTATTGCATCAGATGTCTCACTAAAGGTAATGATTTTATGGAAACTTCGAGGAACTTCAGTTTTAATCTTGGTGTCCCGTCTTCTCCATCCATTTCTCCTCTAGCAGCCACATTGGAGGCTTTTTTCTCACTCCAAAGAAAAATCTGGACGCTTTATTCTGGATGTAACTTATTTCTTTATACATATTGCAATATAATCTAAATAAATGTAGTAAAAGTATTAAAAACATCATGTAAACTTTGTCAATCATAAGTGTCACCTATTTTCGTTATATCACGATCTATCTGCAAATGTCCATCCATATTTTTAACATTAAAGTAAATAATTACCTAACAACATCAAAGACAGTTACCTGGTTCTGAAGTTCACAGATCTGAGTCATCTTTAAGGGGGCATATTCACCGTTGGTAGCTATGTTTTATCAAACACTGAACGTTCGCGGTAGCAGCACTTGTCAGACATGACCTAATTACCACTGTGTGTCACTACGTTATTTACACCCATGAAGGATTCTACTACTGATGTCATTGTGTACTATTATTGTACAGACTTATGTATTTCATGTCTCCAAATGATATATTTATTCACTGTCTTGAATCATTGTGTATTTTGAGTGATAACACCGATGTTTGTCAGGGACTATTTCTTGTGTACACTCCAGCTTCGTGGCTATTTATAGAAAGTAAGTGTGACTTTTGACCCAGAAAAACAATGACTTATTACACTTGTTAATGACGATTTTCTGATAACTTTCTTGCTCAGAAATGTTTTAAAGTGTATTCCATGAAGGAAACTAATGAAAATTACACTTGATTACAATGTATAACGAATTTGATCTGTTTGACATTTCTCAGGTTACGGTGACCTGTCAACAACATTTACGTTAGGCTGAGTGACTAATTATAAATTGGATGTCCGTTTTTATATCAATACAACATATTCATTATCTGGTATTTCCTGCATTCTATGGTAGAAATTCATTGTTTTAAGACATAGAGGACAATATATAACCTGCTGTATTTCCTACATTTGTACCTGCAATATGACAGTAATTCCGTGTTTTGACATTTGTTGCCGACAATCATTCCCAGGCACTAATTGACAGTCTGCTGTCCGTTTTCTCTGTTTGCATTTACCAAATATTTTATCAATCTTATTAGTGTCCGAATTATTAAAGGACACATAGGACAACATCAATTCCAGGATACAGGGCATATTGGTGCTACACTGGGCCAAAGTTGTTAATGGTCATAGCATACATTTGACGTCTGTCAAAATGTCGTCCCGTCCCTTGGCCTGAATATAACGTTGTCCGTATTCTTATTATATCACATGTTAGCACCAATCTCATTTGTCCATCATGTTCGATCTTTTCGGACACTTTATATCACATAAGGACAATACCATATGATAAAGGAAACCGATGCTTTTGTAAATTTCACTTGTCATAGAGCCGCCACTGACGCTACGTTGACGGAAAGTTATTGTCCGTTTAATTATAACAAATTGTCTCGATGTCCTGATTATTTCTACTGTGTCCTAATTGTATTCGGACAAAAAGGACAACATAAGGACAATTAGTAATCACTAACTTGTTTTAGAAATGACACTGCCTATGCAGTGTTTCTTGTATGAAAGCCATCAAACCTGTGTTCTGATTGGTTGAGAAAGGTCACATGACCTCCTGATGATGCCTATAAATACGATCACTGGTCAAGGCCTAGGATTCGCATTCGGATTCGGATTCGATTCATTCGATTCACTCGGGTCACTCGAGTTAGATACAATAAGACATTCAGTCCGATTAAAGGGTCCTGCTCTTATTTTTACCTGGCACCTCTACTGACTTAGATTTATCATCATAACTGCTTCTAGGTATTTATTTTAAGTCAAATTACAATCAATTCGATAACTATATTACATACTCAGTATCATTTCTGCAAGATATTCGAGTTAACAAATTAACTATTTCCTTGGAGACTGAGCCTTGTCATTATAATAATAATATAATAATAAATGTGAACTTATAATGCGCCTTTTCCATGCACAAGGCCCATGCTCAAAGCGCTAACAAAGTGAGTGGATAATAATACATATATACAATAAGGGACTAGTTGCTAGTCATAATGCAGTGAAAACAGATGAGTCTTGAGAAGTCGTTTGAAGGAATAAAAGTCAACTGCTGATTTAATGGTGATAGGGAGAGAGTTCCAGAGTAGAGGGGGCAGAGCAGACAAAGGATTTCCTTCCAAAAAGTTTGCAGTTTGAACCGAGGCACAGAGAGTAGGTTCAGATTCTGAGAACGGAGCTGTCTTTCTGGAGTGTACGGGGTAAGGAGTTCCTTCAGGTATTCTGGGCCTATGCCATTGAGGCATTTGTAGACAAAACACAATATTTTAAAGTCAATTCTTGATTTAACAGGCAGCCAGTGGAGGTTTTTCATCACAGGTGTTATGTGTGAGCGCTTTGAAGTTCTGCTTATGATTCGGGAGGCTGTATTTTGGACATTTTGCAATTTTGATAGCAGCTTCTGAGAAATACCAAAAAGGAGGCTATTGCAGTAATCAATTCTTGATATAACAAGTCCCTGGACCAGACCGTGTGCTGCATCACGACTGATGAGATGGCGTATTCTGCCAATGGCTCGTAGATGAAAGAAGCATATTCTGCAGAGTTGATTTACATGAGTGTCCATCGCCAGGTGTGAGTCAAGTGTAACTCCAAGGTCTTTAACAGAGTCGACAGCTTGTATCTCTGCATCTGCTACCAGAACAGTTTTGGTGGTAATTTGTTTTTGCATTTGCCTGGATCCAATAACCATCACCTCAGTTTTGTCATCATTTAACTTTAGCAAGTTGTTTGTCATCCATGACTTAACATCTTTAGTACAGTCTGTTATTTTATGAAGACCAGTGTGAAAGTCCTTGGGAGTTGAGTTTTCTGAAGTTGAGTGTCATCTGCAAACGAATCATGGGAAATGCCATGTTTGTCAATTACGTCTGCAACATCGGTCGTGTATGCTATGAAAAGAAGCGGACCGAGTACCGATCCCTGGGGTACACCACAGTGGACCAAGGAGGTTTGTGATTTGATATTGTCTAACAGGACAGTCTGACTTCTGCTTTCGAGATAAGATTGTAACCAGATGAGGGGTACCCCATGGATTCCAAATTGGCCCTTGAGTCTTTCCAGAAGGAGTTGGTGGTCGATTGTATCGAAGGCAGCAGAGAGGTCAAGCAAGATAAGAGTAGCTAGTTTGCCTTCATCAACAGCTGTAAGTAAGTCGTTGGAGACTCTGAGGAGGGCTGACTCGGTGCTATGATTTGATCTGTAAGCGGACTGG